GTGGCCCTTGTTGAAACGTGGATCGAGACTGTTACCCAAAGTTTTGTCTTAGTTATTGCACCTGGCTTTAGGATCCAAAAAAAGAAAAAGAAAAAAAATATATGTTTTTGCCAAGTTGTGCCTTTCCTTCTGGAATTGTAAGTGAACACAGTCATAGCGCCTGTTTACACTGTGACGCGGTATTGTTACGGAGAACACCCCAGTGGCTCTCACTGCTGAGCTCACAGTGCCTAGTKAATGTGTGACCAATGGAGAAACCCCTGTAGGACCTGCTGATGYTGTTTGTCTGTTGCAAAATAAACTTTGAATGTTTTTTTTTCCACTTACCAGGTGTGTATTGTTTTCTGATAGTTTCAGTTCCAAACCTGAGAACTTGACCATCATTTTCAGTTGTCTTGTGACCTTCTGTTTCCTAAAGATACACATCTGGTTACATCCACACTGGACCTGCTTCCCGGGCATACATGAGACCTTTCTACCTGCGGTTTTTAACCTCACTGCCACTTCTTCTTCATCTTCTTCTTTTTCTTTTTTTGAGGAATGGAACCAGGTGTGGTGGTGCACACCAATAATCCCAGCACTTCTGGAGGATGGCACAGGAGTTCAAGGCCAGCCTCAGCAAATTATTTATTTTATTTTTTTTTTAGTTATAGGTGGACGCAATGCCTTTATTTTATGTATTTATTTTTATGTGGTGCTGAGGAACGAACCCAGGGCCTTGCACATGCTAGGCGAGCGCTCTACCACTGATCCACAACCCCAGTTTCAGCAGTTCAGCTCAGCAACTTAGTGAGACTCTTATCTCAATAAATTAAAAGGGTGGGTGATGTGGCTCAGTGGTAAAGCACCCCTAGGTTCAATCCCAGTACAAAAAAAAAAAAAAAGGATTGCGCTGAGAGTCACACAGGAGGGAGGATTTAGTGCAAGGGAAGGTTCTCACAGTGGTGGAGAATTCCCAGTCATGTTTTTAGATGTCTTCCCAAAATCCAACCCATTTCTGGCTAATTCTTTTAAAATATCTGAAATCCCTACGTGACTCCGTGGCTAGATGCTCTGGGCAGAACAGCTTGCTTCCTGGGATCTCAGGTTACCTTGCATGCAAAGCAGATCTGACACTGGGTGCATGGAGTTAGAGACTGTAAGAACTGTTTAGAATTTGCTCCAGCTCTGGATCAAATGGATATCTCTGGTACTGATGGGGGAGGCCACAGGTTAGAAGGCTGCTGGCAGTGGACACCACCTTTACCTTAAATGTGGTCCAAGCTTATGAACATCCATTTCCTGGCATATCTCGCTGTCTCCTGATGGTTGACTTTAAAAATACAAAATTGAATGGCCAAGCAGGGTGGCGCATGCCTGTAATCCCAGTGTCATGGGAGGCTGATAGGGGAGGATCGTGAGCAGCTTCAGCAACAGTGAGACACTAATCAACTCAGGGAGACCTTGTCTCTAAATAAAATTCAAAATAGGGGCTGGTGATGTGGCTTGGTGGTTGAGTGTCCCGGAGTTCAATCCCTGGTACCAGAATAAATAAATAAATAAAGCAAAAAAAATCTCAGGGGCCAGGCATGGTGGGAGGCTGAGGCAGGAGAATTGCAAGTATAGGGAGGTCCTAAGAGGTTTAGCAAGACCTGCTAAAAAAAAGAAAAGGGAGGGAGATGGAATGTGGTTAGGTGGTTAAACAACCCTGGGTTCAATCCCCAGTAACCACTACAGAAACAAAAGCAGCAGCATCAGGGGTGTAGCTCAGTGGTAAAGCATTCAAGTTCAGGCAACTAGGAATATTGATTTGAATTTAAAACCGGGCAAAACATGGACTGTAGCCACAGGGCAGATAATGAGCTATATTAGGGGGGACTTCATTTGCATTGCTATAAACAATCATTTGCATTACTATCAATTTTCTGCAACTTACATAGTTGCAAAATAGCTCAAAGGTGGTGAAGGGCACTGCTAACCTTGAGGAGTCCTTGTCATCAGCTCCTTGTCACCTTTCAAGGTCGTTTACAGCTCCTCCAAGAAGCAGGGTTTGTTTCTTAATAACTCTCTCGCACCTGGAACATTCTAAGACCTGAGTGATGGCCTCTTCTGTTGGTTTTCTCCTGGTGCTGACTCAGCATGCAAAAGGCCCAGGATTCCATCCCCAGCACCACACACACACACACACACACACACACACACGCACACAGTTTCCTGGCTCTATATGTTGATTGTAGAAAGCTGTTAACCTAAGGTGTTATTAGTGAGGTGGTGGACAGGATTACCAAGTGTTCAGAGACAAAGGTTTAAAGATTCTTTAACATCACCTATGGCTCCATGATTCTCAAGCCAGGGACAATTTTGCCCCCACCTGACGTTTTACAACGTTTGAACACATTTGTGGTCATCACACTGGCACAGGGCTACCACTCGCATCGAGTCACACCTTTCCATGCAGGATGGTTCTCTAACAGAGACACTCAGCCCAATGTCAATGCTGCCAAGGCAGAGAAGCCACTCTGGGGAATACCTAGAGTGTCCATTCAGAGATAATTCATTCAGGCGGAAGATTCTAGGCTCCAGGAGGACCTCATGTCCTCTGTCCCCAGCCATGACTCCTTGCCAGCTCACCACCAAGCACTGCCTCCTTAAGGCAGATCCAAGCAGCCACTGGCCAGCATGGAGATCTCTGAACTGAGGCTTTATGAGGTCAGAACAGAGAGTCTCAGGGATATTCTGGCCCATACCTGACATCATGGAGTATGTTGTATGAAGTCTATGGACCAGTTTCTTTGGTTTCTGGAAAGCAAAATTCCCAGTCTTTTTTTTTTCTTTCTTTCTTTTTTTTTCTTTTTAAATTTTGAAACAGTTCTAGCTAAATTGCCCAGTCTTGTCTCAAAACTTGCGAATATCCTGCTTCAGTCTCCCGAGTAAACTGGGATAAGTGTGCACCACCTGCCTGGCTAGACTGGCTTATCTTTCAGAGACCTTTCCAGGAGTCTAGGAGTTAGACTTCTTGCACCCAGGGCCTGTTGGTTGGAGAAAGCTGTTATGCACCCCCCAAAGGGGAGCTGTCCCTAAGAAGACTGAACTATGAGGTAGTACCATGGGGCCAGGAAGAGACACTGTGTCCCTGGAGGCACACCCCTGTCTAACCTGCCTGTTCTGTCGCTGCACAGACCCTGCCCCTCTCCTWGGGTTGGAGGGATTCAGGACAAAAATGAGAACATCTAAGAAGCACGTAGTACAGTGCCTGCCACATGCTCAGTCCTTCCCCAAGGTCTGTTCTTAAGCTCCTACTGTTATTACCATGAACCATATTAAACTGTGTCATTAGATCACATAATGTACCACATTAAATACCTCCAGGAACTGCCCTGGAGGAACTCCTGGCCTTTTTACTGCATCTGGATCTTTCCCATGATGAGATAAAATGAAATAAAAGCCTTTAAGAGTCTTACTTTTGCAGTGACATAAGTCTGTAATCCCAGCAGCTTTCGAAGCTGAGGCACGAGGATTTCGAGTTCAAAGACAGCTTCAGCAACATTGAGGCACTAAGCAATTCAGACCCCATCTCTAAGAAAAATATAAAATAGGGCTGGGGATGTGGGCTTAGTGCTTGAGTGCTCCTGAATTCAATGCCCAATACCTGTCCCCCCCAAAAAAAAAATCCTGAGGCAGCCTTGCTGGAAGGTAGTATTTAAAAAATGCCTCCTCTCCTATTAAAAAGAATATCTGGAGAAGCAAAAGCAATAAAAAACCACCCATGATTTCCCCCTGTTTTTATATGCAGGTGTTACTACCTTTGGAGGGGCTTCATTGGGACTTTTTTGGTCTTTAAGATTTTTCTATTTAACAAAAAAAAAGTAAAGAAAGTTTCTATGTAGAAATTTTCTTTCGGGCTGGGGTTGTGGCTCAGTGGCTCAGCGCTCGCCTAGCACATGAGAGGCCCTGGGTTCGATTCTCAGCACCACATAAAATAAATAAATAAAACAAAGGTTTTGTGTCCAACTACAACTAAAAAATAAACATTAAAAAAAAGAAAAGAAAATTTATTCCAAGAAAACATTATTGTGAAAGTAGTAATGTATGTTGACTAGAGAAAAAGTATATTGACAAAATGAAAAGAAAAAAGTTTCATCTGGATGTGCACACATACTAACGCAAAATGTTAATGAGAGAAACTGTGAATCAAGCCTGGGGTTGATTATGGAACATGTGACGGTCTCTTTACTGTCTGCTCTAGTTTTCTGTAAATTGAAGACTACTATGACCAAAAAACAAAAAACAAAAGACTATTAATTTTGTTTCAGAATCCATCTGGCCCATCCCAGCAGCACATGTTGGTAATCCCAGTGACTGAACTTTTTTTTTGGGAGGGGGGGGTACTGGGGATTGAATGCATGGATGCTTAACACTGAGTTACATCCCCAGCCCTTTTTTTTTTTTTTTTTTTTGGTGTGTGTGTGTGTGTTTGGTGCTGGGGATTGAACCCAGGGTCTTGTGCATGTGAGGCAAACACTCTACCAACTGAGCTATTTTTTGTGGTGTTGGGAATTCAATCCAGGGCCTGTGCATTCGAGGAAAGCACTCTACCAAGTGAACTATATCCCCAGCCCCTTTCCCAGCCCTTTTATAAATTTTACATTCTATGTTGAGACAGCTGCTCTCTAAGTTGCTTAAGGCCTCACTAAGTTGCCCAGGCTGGCCTCAAACTTGTTGTTCTCCTGCTTCAGTTGCTTGCGTTGCTAGTATGACAGGCATGTGCCAACTTGCCCAGCTAATTTCAGAGATCAGGAGCCTGTGTCAGAGGGACCATAAGTTTGAGGTCCCCTAGGCAACTTAGTAAGGTCCAAACAAACAAACAAACAAATCTATCTGAACTATTTTATCCACCGATAACCATTGATAATACTGTGGCATTTATTCTTGGTTTGGGAGTAAACAATGTTCATCGCCATCATAGTAGCAGTCCTAACAGGTGACTTTTCCCACGCTCTCGTGGCCCTGAATCCTCCGACACTCTGTCGTGAGGAGCCTCACAGAGCTTCCTTTGTGCCAGGCACCCTCTTAACATGCATGATCCACTCATGCACTCCTTCTAAGGATCCTAGGAGGCTGTTACCATCACTCTCCCCATTTTAAGATCAGGAAGCCGAGGCCCTGCAGATCTCCTAACTTGCCTCAAGCTCYGAAGCTGGGAGGAGGTGGAAGTGACATTAGGACCCTCCATGAGGGGGCCATGCCTGGTTCCGCATATTTTAGAAAATAAGGCAGTTGGGAGAGTGGACACAGATTCCCCCTTAAGGACCAGAGGGAGACGGAATGTATTTGGAATCAGGATTAGTTAGTGGCGGGAAGTGTCATGAAAAGTGTGGGTCCTGCTTTCTGGAGCATAAAGACCTGGCTTTAAGCCCAGCCTGGCTGCTGGCTAACCCGTGGCTTTGTGCAGCCACTGAGCTTCTGTGTCCTCACTTGTGAAGTAGGTTGGATCATCCCCACTTGGATTACAGTTGGGGGAACATGGAACTCTGTGCAGCTTTTAGGTGCTTGATAAAAACAATAGCTCACGTTTATTGCATATATCAACTGGTTGCAGCTGATCTGAGGGTGGGGCTTGGAGGGGCTGGCCCAGGGAGATTTAGGGGGTGGCTGTGTGTTCTACATGTGGAGCATCCTTCTGGATGTAGGAGAGAGAGAGAACAGGAAGCACAGGCCTATTAGCCAAAGAATGCTATTTCCTCCTCAAAGTTACATGCAGGAGCTTCTAACGACCATTTCCTTCCTTTCCTTTTTTTTTTTTTTTTTTTTTTAATGGCAGCATTGGAGGATTGAACCCAGGGCCATCCCCAGCCCTGACATGCTTCCTTTCTTAAGCAACTTCTTTAGGACATAAGTCACACATCCCAAACTTAGTTGGGATCCTAATAGCTCCACATTTTTTTTTTCACACAGTGCCCCAGACAATGGGGTATTTGGTGGTTCCACCCTATACGGAGGCAAACATATTGAAAGCTGTCCACATCCAACATGAAATATAATTACGTGTAACTATTTGCTTTAAGCCGGGCTTGGTCACCGCATGCTCTGTAATCCCAGTGGTTGAGGAGGCTGAAGCAGGAAGATCCTAAGTTCAAAGCCAGCCTCAGCAATGGGGAGGTGCTAAGCAACTCAGTGAGACCCTGTCTCTAAATAAAATACAAAATAGGGCTGGGGATGTGGCTCAGTGGTTAA